TGCTCAAAGATTATTAAAAGCACATGCTAGTCATTCATTCAAGTAAATAACACAGAATTAATACGAAATGTTATGCTAGTTGTATGTTATGTCTATGAAGTGTAAGACATAAGAGAAGAATGCTAGTGTCAAACAGATCTTCTAAAGCATTTTCTCACCTGTGGATGTTGTCGTCACTTTTCTCTTTGTGTCTCTAAATAGTTCTGGTACAAGCCAGTCTTGCCAGGTTCAGACAGGAGTCCCCACTACTGCATCAGTCAGCAGCCACCTAACTATACAGACATTAGATGTTACGCACTTGTCTCAAATACAATAACAAAGTAAATAGTTGTTTAAATGCAGAATGCACATTTTTCTGACCTGATAGTTATCTGGGGTCTTCAAATCACCTGGTCTGGTCCAATCTTCACTTGTCAGGTTTCCAAAGAATTCACCACTATTGCATCAGTTGGCAGCCACCTAACTTAGACACATAAGAAGTTACACAGTTAAATTTGTTTCAAGTAAAATCAAGTACCTGTATGTAAAATGCAGAATTCAAATCATTCTCACCTGATATTCCTATTGGCTCTTCAAATCATCTGGTTTGGTCCAATTTGTCTTGTCAGGATGAGATTGTAGTCTTCACTACTGCACCAGTCAGCAGCCACCTAACTATACAGACATTAGAAGTTACACACTTGTCTTAAAAAAACACCTTATAGTTGTAGGTAAAAATAATGCAGAAAACAGATTTTTCTTACCTGGCCCAATACTCCTGTATCCAGTCACCTGGTTTCTCTGTCATCTCATCGCACCAGTACTCGGAACACCTTCACAGGTTGCTGACCCTCAGAGCACAGCTGACTACATCATTTTATGAGAAGAAATAGTTATAAAATGTTATCAGATTGTCGTACATTGCAGAAACTTCTATAATACATGTAGCATTGAACAAATCTTATGAACTATAGATTTAGACTTTATCTTACAGACACCCAAAGCAATTTCAGGGGAATGTAGCAAGTTGAAGCAACCTTACCTTACAGAATTCTGATATCTGTGAAGCAACGATGTGATGTCCCTAACGAGTGGAAAATTGTTGATTGTTTCGTATTCTATGCTGTTTCTAGCTGTTTAATGGTCTAATTATTTTAATTAGTTTGAAATGAAAAATACATTGCCAATGATAATGAAGAACGAAAGAATGGTCAACTCAACTGACGTTTCCAAACGTTTGTATCGTATCTATTTTGGCGCCTTGATGCTTTGAGGACCCCATCATGTTTTAGTGAGTTTTGGCGGGAACATCAACAATATTTAAATATGTGTACACCGGCACATTCCAACAGGTGTTCTGAACCACGTGGAGATAAAAGAAACGGTTTTGGTCAATATTTCAACAAATATAACCCCAAAACGCTGAACAATTGACAAAAAAACATACACGTACATTTAGTACTCTACAACCGCACCTCACATTGAAAATGCTGGTGAAAACGCGGCAACTCCATGCTGACCATAGACCTTTTCAAAACCTGGCTAATATTAGGAACGGTCGCTTTCTACAGACCTAGTTAATTTCTTACGGAATATAGCTTGACATGTTCGTACTATATAGTTTCTAGGGAATAATGTCAGCCAAACAGTTTGTTGGTTTACCTGCAACAGTAAGCGAAGTCGTCTCCGGAGCTCCATACCACGTTCCTCTTCTCAACTGTCTCGCCATTTTGTCCTCTTCTCCAAATTCGCCAGGCCAGGAATTCCGCATTTTCTCTTCAAAGCAACAGCAGAACGGCAAAAATTCACAGCGAAAACTCCCAAACATTACTTACTACAAACTTAGTAAAACATTCTACCGACGAAAACTCTAAAAAGTACCGAGAAAGTTTCTAAAAATCAGCCCAGAGTACCCCCGTCGTACGAAATCGCCATTTTGAACGGGCGATACCAAGCTTGTTTTTACACAGGTGTGCACAACAGCCCTATCTAATTAATGTGAAGCTGATAATCTAATTATGAACGACCAATGACGGCCCGTCTCGGTGCTAGGCACTTATATGTGGCGAAGAGAAGAAGGAGAATTAGACAATCTAATTACGAAGACTACTAGTTTCAATTTGGGTCAAAATGACGAAAATGCAGCTACACGGTACTTGTGTATTTCTGCTATAACGTTATACAAATAAAACGTTTTCATCAATAATCTGTTATGTGACCACAGTATGAAACATAAAATTCTTGTCCTGTTTCGCGTGGACACCTTCCACGCACAGGCAAACCCGTCCTTGGTGCTGAATACCTTCTACACACAGGCAAACCCGTCCTTGGTGCTGAATACCTTCTACATACAGGCAAACCCGTCCTTGGTGCTGAACACCTCCCACACACAGGAAACCAACCAATTTACAGTGTTTAGGGTAACATAACTAATCTCTCCAATTTCCTCAATAATCAGAACAGTTACTGTCAGAACGTTTGCTTCTTCCCCGGGTCAAGGTTCTAATAAGCACAGTTAACAAATTTTGGGTAATAGTAAGAAAATCTGTGCAACTATAAAAAGGCCTACAGCAAAAGAGCTTTCTTGAGTAAATACCAAGAGTTGTGGAACGTTGCTAGTTTTCCACCATTTACTACATTAATCAGGTGAACAGTACAACAACTGGCGTTAAGGCGCATGTATATGGATAATATGGCATGATTAGTCTGAAGAAGTAAGGCTTTACCTTTAATTGACCATATTTGGAGGGATTACGTGGCGCTATGCAACTTGTTTTTCTGCAAGTGGCAGACTTATTTTTGCGATAAACAGAATTCGAAGTTACTATCGATGCTGCTGATGTGCATGAATGCGGTTTAACCTGCAATTACATTTCTTTATGTTAGTCGGCGCTTTTGAGCCGTGTATGTAACGAAGAAACCTTAATGCTGATTGGCCTTGTTTTTGTGATGACGAAATGGCTTGTTCAAATAAGGATTAAGTCCAAACGTGCACAAACGTCTACCTCTGTCTTTTGAACACTGAAAGGGGGCGTGTCGACACGAAGGTAAGTTAGTAGTGATTACGACATACATGTATTATGATATATGATTCAGACATTTCCCATAGTCTTGTAGTCTTGAATTTTGCTCATATTAGCAGCTAAAATTGCAACACAATACAAAATGAGTCGCTAAAGTTGTATGCAAACATAGGTAGCAAAACGTTCTTAGGTTTAAAAACTACAGGACGCACTTTGGACTCATCTGGCCATTTTGTACTTGATATAATAGTGAGGACAAATTCATGGCCAACTTTTCAGACATTGAGGTCTAGACATGCTTTAGTTTAAAATTATTTCTAAAGGCCTATCTATGATACGAGTACAAATTAATGTGGTGAAGTGGGACAGATGTGGTATGTAACAAAGGAAAGCGGTTTTTCTATAAAACGCCGAGAATATTAAGTAAGATTTTACCACTACGTTTACAAGATCAGATGTTTGATGACTTCCATATCTTTACTTCCATTTTCAGAGCCACCAAGACCTAGAAACAAGAAGAAAGTTCGATTATCTGTAGTGAAGTGCTATAGTGGCGTTGTCGCCTTGTCGAATAGAAGGTGACGCAACACTCCTACACATCACTACAGACACATACATCGCGGAGTTTTACAGACGATTTGGGAAAAATTGACCTTATTTCAGAACCAACAAGTCCCGGGTTCGAGTCCTGACATGCCATCGATCTTGTGCCATTGGGGAATTGGGTAAGGCACTTGACACGACTTTCCTCACTTAACTCAAGTGAAAATGAGTATTGTCATGTCCTGTATTTGTTCTCTGCGTTGGTGGCGGCATGAAATAAGTTGATAAAACTTGAGTGTGCCGTCACCATGTCTAGTCATGAATTGTTGAAATATAAAAAAAAAAATTGCGCAGAGAAGAACATACATACGGCGAAACACATTCAACACCACCTGATAATTTGATCCTCGAGCGTTTCTTGTATTAGAAATAGCGGTCAAATACACGGTTGATCTCTAATTTATCATTCACCAACGTTGAACGACAGGACCATTTGCGCTTAGTGAATATGAGAGGATGCTATCATTTAATACCACCTTATAATTTGATCCTCAAGTACTAGTATTAGAAATAGCTAGCGGTCTTGAATAAAAGTTTTTCTCTCTAATCTATCATTCACCAACGTTCAATGACCGTTTGTGCTTTGTGGTTGGGAGAGGAGGCTATAAGCTGTGGGCGAATAGTGCTTTTCATCTGTACCACGTACTGACAGGTGTGGATGATGTTTGTACTGTCTGTCTGTTCACAACAGAGTAGCAACAGGCAACAGAACAGACATACTGTCCACACCTGTTGCTGACATCAAGGTACGTAGAAAAAAGATAACAGTTCCGGTTGTCGCGGCTTCGCAACAGAAATGAGAGTTCAGCAAACGGAGAGACCACGAGAGGCCGAAAAAATGAAATAAACTCAGTAATAAACTCCAACGTTCGGCCTTTCTCTTCATTGCCGGATTACTAACAAAACTTTACAACAAAAACGTACAACAAACCGTTGAAAACGTATTGAAAGCACTCAGCATTTTCTGCCTGAAATCTACATTTTGCATACTTCATGTTGTAGAAAACTTTTAATCATTTGAAGTATATGCTATTACACGGCCGGCCCAGAAAAAGAGAAAGGAATTCTGTTATCGCTTTTTAATGGTTGCCTATTAACTCCGCAGTACGAAGGGCATTGCCAAAGTTACACATTACATATTAGCTATTTATAAGTACAAGAGGTTGAATGCTGAATAAAGTTTATACTCTATATCTATTGTAGGTGGTGTCGTCTATTCATTTCATCATAACACAACTAGGTAGACCCTTCAAATTGTTTGCCTAAGTCGCCTTTGTTTGTATCATTTCTTTTTACAGCACCAAATACAGTGTATAAACGTCCCGTGCTACTGCGGGCAAGTCAACCCCTCTCTATGAATTAGACTCTACCATTGACCTCTGACCGTACCTGAATGACCTGCCGGACGAAGTTGATGTTATGACGAATAGGCCAGAATTAAATCTGACCGTCCTTGCCTGAAATCGGCCAAGATAGAGCAGGCTTCAGATCACGATGAGCTTGTCTGCGATGGCGGGCTCCCGGCAGAAGTTGTCGTCAGTTCTGGGCCGTGCTGTGAGCCCGTGGCGGGCGGAGGGAGTCAGCGGCAGGGGCCTGGCACTGGGCGGGTCTGGTGGTCACCTGGTCCGGCCGAGGACAGGTAACTTATAGTTATATCCAACCTAAACAGTGTTATGGTAACGTTACATGTAATCAGTCAGCGCACAGATTTAACTTTATAAAGTCATCAGACGTATCTAATATGTTTTTAAGTTTATAAAACTTACAAGTTTTATAAACTCGCCAGTTTCTAAAACTACAGAATTGAACGCACTATACCTAACCGTTACACTCTTTTAGTATAACACAACAATCTGTCAACACATGCAAGTTTGGGTTACCAGTTGGCCCAGTACATCTGCCGTAGGGCCGTATGCACAAATTGTTTTCTGCACCCTAGCCGCCACACTGCCCTGGTTAATGTATAGAAATACTAGTTATTAAGAACTTAAGAGATCCCTCTTCCTTTCTCTTTCTCTCTCTCCTCCCAGTTTCCCTCTCTCTATCTTTCTCTCCCCTCTCTCTGTGCATGGTGTGTGTGTCAACGCATCAAATATATTGGATCAGATTCTGCATTTCCTTATCTGGTAACTTATAAAAATCGCCATGAAAGGTGCACTAGTTTGGGGGTCTTCAGAGGATATCATCCTTACATGTCCTTTCAGTGGATTTAAGTGGCGTTCTGTTAGGAAGAAACGCCCACATAATCGCAGCCTTTAACTTCCAGTGATTAACTTGTTAGTTGAGGTGAGGTGAGGTGACGAGAGGTGAGGTGAGGTGAGGAGAGACATACATATTGTCAACAAATGTACCGATTTTGTATTCACGTAAAAGCCACAGGAATACCTTGATACCTTGATAGAAAATACAGAAAATTGAATGGAAATTACCTAGTAATACATTTCTATCTTCTAAATAAACTGTAATTTTACATCTTACGCTAGATTTAAAGTTATCGCTGTTAAACCCATTGGATGACCTTTCCTTTGATAGAATTGATGTTCGGATCAGTACTGTAATTTTAGGTTCCACCCAAGAATACGACACCTAATTTAGCCTCCAAAACAGGGTTCTAGGCAATTTTTCTTTGCTAATCATGAGCTATTTTCTGGTTTTGTATCAGTTTGTATTGTGGTGGGTTTCTAAACGTCTTTTATATAGGCTAGATGACTGTTAAAACTCCAGTACAATCAGGACTAGCGTACAATCAGAAAACAGCACAGGATAAGCAAAAGGGCCTGCCAAGAAGCCTGCCTGTGGAGGCTAAAAAGGTCTTGGGCGGTCCCGAAGTCTCGGCTAGTCAGTCTTACTCTGGACATCGACTACCGAAGCTCCACGACTGAAGATCTCAGTACACACGTACAGTGCAGATTCATATTTCGCAAAAAGCCAGCATGTGCCGGCTTGTTGTATATGTCGCTATGTATTGCCACAAATTTACAGTACTAGCTTTGTATTCCTGTGGTTTAGTACCATTTTCATTTTTGGCTGGAATTTTTTTTTATTCGCCCGCGCGCACTAATTTGGGGGTCTTCAGAGGATGTCATCCATAAAATTAAGACAGTGTCTAAAAACAAAAACACATTCAACGTCATCTGTTCATCAACAGGCAGTGTACTTTTCCATTGTACTGTAAATCCTGAAAGGATTTTCCTAAAAAAAGGAAATATCACTAAGTTCACATCTATTAGCAAATATTGTCACTTCTTCATTGCAAATCAATTCAGACCCATGAACAGGTGGCAGCATTTCAATGATGTGTCTAGTATATTATTTTTTTTAACCACACATATTACAGATAGTGTGCATCACCTTGCCATTGATAGTGAGTTTACTAAGTGAATTTACAGTATAGCAATGAGGTTATAACTCCTTGAGTATACATGTAGTAACATCATACCAGTTTTCTCCCCAGGTCCCTCCGTGGTACAGACGTACAGCACTGCCACAGTCAGTTCTACCAGTCCTGCTGAGGACCACAGCCAGGCCAGGCCTTTCTCAGACATACCCAGTCCTCCATCTGTGCCTTTCTTTGGAAATCTCTTTCACCTGTGGCGGGAGGGACTCTTGTCGAAAGACAAGATCAAGAAAAATCACATCTTGATGTTTTCAAACATGTTCAATCAGTACGGTCCAATTTTCAGGTACATTTCTCTGGTTCCATGATTAAAAGCTATGTGTTTAGATGCTTTTACTCTCAATAACTCAAATTTGTTAGGGGTGATAATCATTCTAGTTGGAATCACCACTTGCATATGAAGGTTGGTGCAGGTAAAATTAGAGCTGTGCAGGCATTTCTTATACCTGACTGCATCTAACCTGTAATGGTCTGTGTACAAAGTACTTGAATGTATGATACAAGGTGCAATGGATTTTTGTCTGCTAGACATTATAATGACTCAGTTACCATGATTGCAACTATGAAATGTATCAAATTGCAATTGTTATTTATGTGTTACGTAATGCTTGATACTACTAGATTATGAACATGAATACAGATCTCACTGTCCATTTGATTAACCGAGTATTATATTTTACAGATGGAAGATGCTGAATGTTGAGATGGTGTGTATCAAGGACCCAGTAGCAGTTCAGGAGCTGTTTAAGAAAGAAGGGAAGTACCCAGCACGTATCGACATCAAACCCTGGAGAAGGTACCGAGAAATCTCAGGCAAGGCCACCGGAGTGTTTCTCAGGTAATTTAAGTCATATATTTATTTAGTATAATAAAATAATTTGCAAGCCAAAAACAGACAATTATAGAACAAGTAATGTATAACTATACACTGAGCTACAATGTTGCATTTTTATTTGGGCACTCCTAAAGTTTAACATTGTAAAGCTATCAAGGTGCTAAGACACAAAGTTTCAGGAAATATTCAGCTATGTTATCAGGATTTAACGTGATAAGTTTTTGTTCTCATGAATCTTAAAGCCATGCACTGCAGCTGTATTACCTCTGTAGGTGCACTTGTGTACAAAAGTCCTGTAGACTTGTGTACATGTAGACTTGTGTATATGTAGACTTGTGTACATGTAGACTTGTGTACATGTAGACTTGTGTACATGTAGACTTGGCTCTTGTACTTGGATAGAGGGAACAACTTACAAAGCACATACATTGTACTATGAGGCTGCACTTATGTAACTCATTATAAGCTAAATTTTTATACCTGTGACTAATCCTGTGTTCCTAGTGATGGTAAAGAGTGGCAGAAAACCAGGACGATAATGGCACGACCCATGTTACGTCCGAAACACGTGTCTACGTACGTCAGAAACTTGGACATGGTGTCGTCTGACATGAGCGAGCGGCTTCGGGTACTCCAGGCAAGGGCTGATGGGATAGAAGTGCCGGACATAAGCGATGAGCTGTTCAAATGGGCTCTAGAATGTGAGTAATAATTAAAACTTATCAATCTATGAAAAGGGAGGCTGAGACTAAAAGCAGTACAACACAAGAGAGCTTTGCTATGGCTAAAGCATTGTAATTATCATTTTGAGAAATTATTCTGAAGAGAATGTTTCATTGTCTTGCTTTTTATAAGCTTGAGAAGAACTGTCAACATTTTGTTTTATATGTGCTTGATTGACAATTGCCTACTGGCAATATGTACAATACAAATTGTTTTTAGTTCTTATTATTTGGGTTTTATTATAAACCCTATAGAGAAATCATAGTATACTTTTTCAGTCTTGAATGTACAAATAAAGCAACAAATGATATTTTTTTGTTTCTATGTTTTAGCCATCTGTACTATCCTGTTTAATGAGCGGATGGGATATCTGCAAGACAACATTCCTCAAAATGCACAGGACTTCATCCAGGCCATGCACACTATCTTCCTAACGACGAACGCCCTCTTGGTTCCTGACGCTGATGTCCACCGCTTTCTGAGAACCAAACCCTGGAGACAGTCAATGGAGGCGTGGGACACGGTTTTCCGTGTTGGTAAGATATTTTCCCCCATTTACATGCACATTGTATTATAACCTGGTTGCCAACCCTTGCAGACTAAAGCGTCGGTCACAACCCGCCGTACGTGCTTTTTGTCCATATGTCCGTCTGCTACGTTTTTCTGAAAACGTTACTAGGGTGCGTGACCGGCCGAGGGAGTACGTCACTCGCACGGTTGCGCAAGGTGTAAGAGTGTGGTCTGCACGCCACGCCTGGCCATAAGCGGTTGCGTGTATCGTTCATTGCACAAGTGGTAAGTGAGTTGTACGTGCTTACAACCTCTGTACGATTGCCATGTTACCGCATACAGGCTGTACCTACACTACCGTACCCGCGTACCTAAAGGTATTATTTGAACCCAGAACCTCTTGGTTCAAGGCCGAACACGCTACCGCTACGCCACACGACCCCACTACTACACAATATTTAACAATGCATAAAATTCTAATAAACAAACTTCAACCCCTGCAGGTGAGCAGGTGATGGACCGACAGTTACAGGAAGCTCTGGAGCGGGAGGAGAGGGGAGAGGAGGACGAGGATCAGCCCAACTTCCTGGCCTTCATCAGCAGCACGGGGAGGCTGAGCAAGGACGAGATTTACTCCAACACCATCGAGCTCATGGGAGCCGCCATCGACACGGTTGGTTCTGGGATCATCACACCAAAGCAGCTGTTGTTTTTTTTTATCATCTGAAGATATACAGTCTAACCTGCATGTATACATAGTCACCTTGGATTACACAGTCACAGAAGACAGGTAGCCAAGATATACATTGTCTGAAATTCTCTCTGAATCCCCCCCCCCCAGAAAAAGAACCCAATTTTTAAGGCCTGCATAAAAAAGAAATGACAAAAAAGTGTCCGGGGTGTTTGTCCCCCCTACCTCCATGCTATAAAAAACAATGTTAGGTCATTTGGCTGAAAAATGACAAAGGTGAATCGACTTGACCAAATGAAGAAAAGAAGGAGGAGGACAGGAAACATGAGGAAAAACAATATATTTCATCCATACCATGGTATGGAGTGAAATATAACAATAATGAACACAAGAAATACAAGAGGGTTTCCCATAAGATCTTCTATAACTTGTAGGTACATATTCTCATGTAATTACAAGGTATATGAGTACAGTCTATATTGGGGCATAAGTACCCTGTACACTACACTAAGATCTAAACATTCTCTGAGTTATTTGTCTATTGAATAACATGATGAAATTTGCTACCTTTCTCTCAGACCTCCACCACTCTCCTGTGGACGCTGTATGAACTGTCACGTCGGCCTGAACTCCAGGACAGACTGCACCAGGAGGTCACACAGGTCATAGGTCAGGACAAGGTCATGACCTGGGATGACCTGAAGGACCTGCACCTGCTGAAGGCTGTCATTAAGGAGTCACTCAGGTTGGGAACATTTTTTTTGAGTGTGTAAATTTGTTTTTCTGTTAGAAATATGGGGCAGACTATTCATCAAGGCATGAGCAGCATATTTGACTTGTGAAGATACTGAAGATACCACATTAGTGAAAATGGAACTAACTGAAAGGTCACTGTGCCAAAAGTGTGCCAAACTTGAGAAAATTTGGTGTCCCTAAACAAAAAATTGAACATCAATTCGAATGTGCGAATCCTGGAGTATTCAAAAGCAGCGCACTCTGTGAATCCTTGTTATCTGAGGAACATTTCAAAGCCCACATAAAAGCAGAACCCAGTGTCAATCAGCTAGTTATCACACAGGCCAGAACACATGTATCTTTAACGCTATCGCTGCCCATATATGAAATAAATGTTGGTACATGCAGATTTCAGATGAGTAACATTAGTCAGAGCATCTTTCAGTTGAATTTGTTTGCGCAATGAAACAGATTGTTACTGATTGTATACGCACTACTACTGGTGTTCACATGTCATGTACAATGACAGACATATGAATTTATTACCTTTCTTGTTGGCGTCAGGATGTATCCTGTGGCCCCGGCCATCAGTCGTGTCCTGCAGGAAGACACAGTGATCATGGGATACAAGTTACCTGCAAAGGTATGTCTCATCTTTTTGAAATCCACAATATTGTCATTGTGAAATCTCAGTGCCACAAAAGGCAAAGGTTTCTGTACTTTGTATGCAGACATTTAGAATTGAAAGCAACTTACAGTTTCTGACACGACATTGCACGGGTTGTTTCTAATGTCCATCTATCTATTCCTGGATGGATTTCAAGGTGGACAAATTTCCATCTAAGTTAACAGACCAAAATCTGAACACTATGTGGCAAAATTTTTGAATTGAACGGAAAAATCTGTCCAGTCTGGACTGGTCTAGGGAGCGGAAAAACCTGTCCAGTTTGATAAAAGGGCCTAGGTCGGTGAAGGTTAGACATCCAGGTAATAGGATTATCATATCCAGTTGCTTGAGTAACTGATTTTTGGCACACTTGTAATTGCTTTCCTGGGCCTCTTGAATAACATAGAGTTTGGCTAGACAAAAAAAAAAAGAAAAAAAAAAAGAAACAGATCATTAGTAAAGGCTGTCCCCACCCCCAGACGTGTGTTGCTGCCCAAGTGTACGCCATGGGGCGGGATCCACACCTGTTTCCTGATCCTGACCAGTTCAAACCTGAGCGATGGCTGAGAACAGGAGAGGCTCATGACGACATCAACCCCTACAGCTCACTGCCGTTTGGCTTCGGACCTCGCAGCTGTATTGGTACGTTAGGATCACAGTTGGTATTTTTCTGACAGTCCTAGTACAAATACCTATAGCAGCCAATCTTGGGGATTATTTGGTTTGATGAAAGCAATTTGAATGTCATACTCTGATGCTCAAAATAGACCACCTGTAACCAGGTACAGTTTGCACATAAAAGTCTGACTCTGCAGGAAAACTTGCCATTTGCTTGCCTTGGCATCACTTCTTATTGAAGAAAACAGAAATGCTGGCAAAAGTATCTAAAGCCCTGTATCCCTCTGAAATTTCTATAAAGCAGCCAGATTACTAGTATCTTAGGTATTGAAATTCATCCTCTGTAAGGATAAGATAAAAGCCAAAGATAAAAGTTTTCACATGTCTTTGTCAAGAGTATAGCTTGATACACTAACTGTCTTGCCTTACACTTCTGTATTGTTGTTCAGTTATGAAATGACTCTTTATTTTCTCAGGTCGACGTGTAGCAGAGGTTGAGCTGCAGCTCTTTCTAGCAAAGGTAGGGGGCTCTCTTAATTCACAAGCATGGCTTGATACCCTCATACAAATTCATGGCTCTGATGATCGTTGGAACATGGTAACTGATTGTTAAGATATTCAGCAAACTGTTTTCCTTCCTACAGATGTCCCAGCAGTTTGTAGTAAGTCAGGTGGAGCCAGAAGAGGTTTCATCAGTTGCACAGCCCATACTGATGCCAGAAACACCGCTGCACCTTAGGTTTGTGGACAGGAAGTAAGAGTGGCCTCTACATGTATGCTGGGACCTTTATAAATTGAGAGTGGACTTTCACACTGCAATTATTGCTGGCAAGATAGGTGGCGCTGCACAGTTTCTGTTGAGAACTTTTCTTTGGCCTTTTGGGACAGTTTGTTTAACCATTGGTGTATTTTATTCCATTCACTTTTTATTATCAAATAGATTTATCAAAAATATCCAAGACATTTTACAATTGCACAGATGCACATTAGACAACATCTGTGTGTGACCTGTTTTAACTTTTCAAGAGCTACATGTAATTGTTATACAAGTTCTTGTTTTATTTGGAAGGTACTAAGATGATGATGATATTACAGACGATGGTAATCAAAGATTTTATACACTTATGACTTTCAATGATGATAGAAAGGATACAATGGGCTGGTGACCATATTTTTAAAGGTGATGTATTTTTGTAATCCATACAAGTGACTGAATAGTGTGATATAGTTTGGTACATCAGACTTCGATATCAAAATTCCCAGTAAGGTACACGGTGTAAATGACTTTATGTACATAGCAGTACAGTGCTATATACCTGTCTTACTGAGTGTATTTCTACTCAGTTAGACCCTTTAATTTGTACAGTTTTTGAATCTGAAAAAATGAAACTGAATAAAGTCTTATTCTACGATTAATTGTAACTGGTGTCGTCTATTTATTTTATCTAAACACAACTGGATAGACCCTTCAACCTATATATAAAAGACGATTTCAAAACTTGTCTTCATTTGTATCATAATACTTTTCACCTTTCCGCACCTAATATAAACGCTCCGTGATGAAAGTAGGCACGTTATAACCCCCTGTCTATGATTTAGACTCTACCGCTGACCTTTGACCGTACTTCAAGGTCAATAACCTGTCGAACAACTTCATGACGCAAATAGAAATAGGGTAGAATCAAGGCTTACCGTCCTTTTCCTAAAATGGGACAAGATAGAGCGGATTTCCCATCACGATGAGCTTGTCTGCGATGGCGGGCTCCCGGCAGAAGTTGTCGTCAGTTCTGGGCCGTGCTGTGAGCCCGTGGCGGGCGGAGGGAGTCAGCGGCAGGGGCCTGGCACTGGGCGGGTCTGGTGGTGACCTGGTCCGGCCGAGGACAGGTGCAGTCATACAAGTGTCTTATATCAGACTCATAGCCATCACAGTTGGACTGTCACTATTTCGGCGCCAATTGCAATGGAATGAAGTATTTAGCACTTAAGTTCAGTTGGTGACGCTGAAGAAGAGTGGTTAATGTCACTCGAAAAGTCCGGAAGTAAACCCCGTCATGTATTCATTAGGAGAGTTTTGAATTTTCTTTAAGGAATGTTTACCTGGATGCCCTACCTTCACCAACGTATGTATCAACCGTCTTAACAACCTAAAAGTTCTCACCTTAGCAAAGATCAGTTGTTCATCAAACAACCACATCCATTAACAGGTGGCAGCATTTCCATAATGTGTGTCTAATAGAACTGGTACAACTACGGTATCTATGCAATCGATATTGAGTTACAGTATAGAAACATCTTACCAGTTTTCTCCCCAGGTCCCTCCCTGGTACAGGCATACAGCAAAGCCACAGTTTCTACCAGTCCTGCTGAGGACCACAGCCAGGCCAGGCCTTTCTCAGACATACCTGGTCCTCCGTCTGTGCCCTTCTTCGGCTCTTTCTTTCACCTGTGGTGGGAGGGACTCTTGGCGAAAGAAAAGTTTAAGAAAAATCACATCATGGGCACGGAGTTTTTCCGTCAGTACGGTCCTATTTACAGGTACATGTACATTTCTTTCGTTCTAAGACCCATAGATAACACTATGTGATTGGATGCTGTGGCTCTCAATAACTTGTAATAATAAACCTAGCTCGAAATATTACTTGGATATTCAGGTTAGGCCATGTTGATTTGATTATTTGTATGACATCCTCTGGGAACCCCAAAACCGATGCGAGCGCGCGAATAAAAATAATTGGCAAAAAAAAAAACGAAGTATAGGGGTGATGGGTTTTTATTTGATACAATGACTGATTCCGTGGTTGCAACCTTGAAATGTAAAGTAAATTATGGGAAAATTTTTGTGTGTGTGTGTTTGTGTGTTTCAAAACAAAACTGTAACTAAATTATAAGTCCGACAACCAATGTTGATTTAAATATATCTTCCAGGTTCAAGGTTGTGAATGTTGATCTGGTGTTAATGAAGGACCCAGAAGCAGTTAAGGAACTGTTTAAGAAGGAAGGGAAGTATCCAACACGACTAGACATCAAGCCTTGGAGAAGGTACAGGGAAATCTCAGGCAAGCCAAAGGGAGTGGCTCTGAGGTAATTAACGGTCATGTAGTAGTAACCAAAAATCCTAACACATGTAAAAGGCGCACACAACCCGTAATGCTTTATCATACACACTACAATTATATCATGTTCCATATTCAAAAAGGGATAACCCCACGTTTTAAACATCGTAAGGACTTTCAAAGAGCTAAAATCCAAAGCTTTAAAGGAAATATTTGGCTCCATGCTAAGATTATATTAAACATAATAAGATTTTGTTCCTTTTAAATTTCAAAGCGATACACGATATACAACTTACAGCAACGTTGGCACAACTAGTACATATAGTACTTTATAAAATAGAAAGGACAACTTACAAAGCACTTTCCTATTCCATATGAGGCTTGGCACAAAGTAAAGATGAATAGTTTACCTCATTTTGTGTTCTCAGTGATGGTAAAGAGTGGCACAAAAACAGGACGATAATGGCACGACCCATGTTACGTCCGAAACACGTGTCTACGTACGTCAGAAACCTGGACATGGTGTCGTCTGACATGATCGAGCGGCTTCGGGTACTCCAGGCAAGGGCTGATGGGATAGAAGTACCGGACATAGGAGACGAACTGTTCAAATGGGCTCTAGAATGTGAGTTATATCACTTGATACTTCGGCGAAGTTAAGGCATCTAAGTAATAAGATACGCTCAAAAAACAGTAAAGCAACCAACAAGGATTCAGTTGCTTGGGTAACTGTTTTTTCGTGATTAGTATCACTTGACTTTATAAATTTAATGTTAATACGAAGCAAAGTCAACAATGCAATGCAGATTTGCTATGTTTCTTTGACTTTCTTTTTTCTTAATCAATTATTTTAGTTGTTTTAATTTCTGAAAAACAATCCATTTACAAAATGGAATGGGGGACTTCTAGTTGCTTACCTGTAGCAGATAAATGTGGTAACTATCTCAAAAATGCAAATGATACTATTGTTGTATTACATTTTTTTTGTTTCTATGTTTCAGCCATCTGTTCTGTCCTATTTAATGAGCGGATGGGATATCTGCAAGACAACATTCCCCAAGATGCACAGGACTTCATCCAGGCCATGCACACTATCTTCCTAACGACGAACACTCTCCTATTTCCCGAAACAGACGTACACCGCTTTCTGAGGACAAAACCCTGGAAACAGTCCATGGAGGCGTGGGACACAGTATTCCGTGTTGGTAAGCTTATTTTGGCCAGCCCCAGTCAGTGTCTGGGTCTCAACCCCGTAGGCTGGGTCCGTGCCCGGCCAAAATACACTTCGATATGCAGTTTCCTGGCTGAATAAAACATAGTGACCATATCTTCTCAGTGAAAATGTGTCTATCAAAGTTACAAACATGTTGATTTTCCAATTCAGGATCATTATGTTTTTCAGTCTCCGAAGCAAATTCAGGAGGTATGGCCTTAGCAAAAAATACCTAAAAGTACAAGTTTTTATACTGCAAAGACCTCTTTAGTATAAGGTTTTAACTATCATATATACATGTTTTTGTCACGTAGTGTATTGAATAAGTTGTGGTGTCTGAGGGGGTAGTGTTAATATACCTGCTTTGTCCTCCCTCCACTTATATACTTGTGTACAATTCTAATAAACAAATAAACTTTACCACAGGTGAGCAGGTGATGGACCGACAGTTACAGGAAGCTCTGGAGCGGGAGGAGAGAGGAGAGGATGGCGAGGATCAGCCCAACTTCCTGGCCTTCATCAGCAGCACGGGGAGGCTGAGCAAGGACGAGATTTACTCCAACACCATCGAGCTCATGGGAGCAGCCATCGACACGGTTTGTTCTGGGATCATTATGTTTACCGAAGGAAAACATATTGTTTTTGCTCTGTTTCTTCTTCTTCTTCCTTTCCAAACACTGACCTCTGACCTGGTTAACGACCAGACTGTCTCTCACCATGGTAACTGGTGTTGGGTTACATAATGTTGCAAGTTGTTGCAAGAGGGATTTAGACTCCTGTCACCACATGTGAAATGTGTTTGAGTAAGAATTAACAGAGCAGACCACGTGCGAGGGCAAACATATTATGCATTTGCTTTGCAAATGTTACCTTTCTCATTTTCTATTATCATCTGTTGTTGCTGCTTTGTGTAAGCTACGACAGTCTAACCTGCCTGTTCTCAACAGACGTAAGAAAAGCGACTAAGGGAGCCAGACTATTATCGGGCCGTTTAGTCGGTTTCCTTCGGTAGCCAATAGCACTACGCCCGCCTATCTAAATTACCGCTATGGGGGAGTTGAGCCCAAGCGGAGTTGGCCCTAGCGATAATTTAGGCGGGCGTAGTGCTCTTGGCTACCGAATAGTAATTATGCAAATTAGGTCTTAATTTAATCAATATCTGCCGATGTTCCCCTTGTTATCGATTACAATGTCACAAGTTTGAATAATCCTACTCTAAGATCTAAGCATTCTTTACATAGTTTGGCTCGTGAATAGCATGACGAAACTCTTTCAGACGTCCACCACTCTCCTGTGGACGCTGTACGAACTGTCACGTCGACCTGAACTCCAGGACAGGCTGCACCAGGAGGTCACACAGGTCATAGGTCAGGACAAGGTCATGACCTGGGATGACCTGAAGGACCTGCACCTGCTGAAGGCTATCATTAAAGAGTCACTCAGGTCGGCAAAATCGTAATTTTGTGTGTGTAAATTTGTTTTCAATTAGAAATACGGGGCACATTATTCTGGAAGGTATAAGGGACATCTGTTACAACCATGTCAATCCCTTCAGTATAAGGCAGCCGGAGCAGCATATATGGTCCGTTAATCAAGGGTTAATGACCCGCCTGATCCTCGGTGCATATGATGTCATAAGACCGGGTTATTCTATGTAACTACCGAGTGAGCGCAGTGTGCGGTGTTTAAACACCACGGTGTTTATAGGATTTAATCACCACTGGTATGGTTTATGTTGGCACCATAAACAACATGAAATGGGGACTTCTGACTGGTCGACGTCTTCTATCTGGCCATATGATAATAACTTTTAATATTCTCTTCCTTTTGTCGGCAGGATGTATCCTGTAGCCCTAATCGTCAGTCGTATCCTGCAGGAAGACACAGTTCTCATGGGATACAAGTTACCTGCAAAGGTCGGATTTTCAAAATTCACCACGCAACAGATTTTTTCTTTGATACTTTCCTCATTGCATAATCCTCCCTTTTGTCCCCAGATAGATTTTCTTATGCTCATATTAGATAAATTCCATCTGTCTTAACAGACAAAAATCAGTAGTTAATGGTAAGATTTCCTGATGGAACTGTTAGCTTTGCTGGGCCTCCTAAAATGACATAGACAGCTACAGAGAAGCTGGAAAGAAAGTAACCTCCAAGCAGATTCGTTCTGGGCAGGGAACCATTAAAATGGGCAAAAATAGTAACTCGGGTGGCCAGTTTGATCATTCACTACCCCCGGTGAAATCTGCTTGGAGATTAGGGAAAAAAACCCTGATCATTAGTAAAGCCTGTCCCCACCCACAGACGTGTGTTGCTGCCCAAGTGTACGCCATGGGGCGGGATCCACACCTGTTTCCTGATCCTGACCAGTTCAAACCTGAGCGATGGTTAAGAACAGGAGAGGGTCATGACGACATCAACCCCTACAGCTCTCTGCCGTTCGGCGTCGGACCTCGCAGCTGTATTGGTACGTTAGGATCACAGTCTGTATTCTATTTATGTTTACTAAAGAAAAACATATTGCTCCGTTTCCTCTTCTCCATAAGATCAATGACCAGGACCAGACGTCTGTAACCACAGTAACCGGTGTTAGGTTACATAATGTTACAAGTGCCGTGCAGTACTGAGTTCAAGAGGGGCTGCATGCATGGTCAACATATATGACTGGTTAAGAATAAACAAAGCAGTAGTTTGTTGAGCTGGGCCATGTGAAAGTAAACATGATGCATCTGCTTTGCCTGTCTAGTTTGAAAATTTCGATTCATCCTCAATAAGGATAGCAGGCTGCAAATGGTAAAAACTTTGACAAATTGGTATTTCTCCAGAGTCTAGCTTGATTCACTTATTTCTGTGTTGTTGGTCAGTTATGAAGTGACTCGTGTATTTTCTCAGGTCGCCGTGTTGCAGAGGTTGAGCTGCAGCTTTTTCTTGCAAAGGTAGAGGGCTCTCTTAATTCACAAGCGTGATAGAGATTTATAGTTATGCCTTTTTTTAACAAAAGGGAAGGGTGTAACCACTTGAAGTTGAGCGAACTGTTTGTCTTCCTACAGATGTCCCAGCAGTTTGTAGTAAGTCAGGTGGAGCCAGAAGAGATTTCATCAGTTGCACAGCCCTTACTGATGCCAGAAACACCGCTGCACCTTAGATTTGTGGACAGGAAGTAAGGAACTCTCTAAGGAATAGTATAAAGTGAGGATCGTCTAATCCTCAAGCAACTAGCATCTTTTATCAGGACAAAGATGATAATGACAGATGATAGTAATAGAAGAGTTTATATCTTTATGGTAAAAAAGGATATAATGTTCCTAAGGGTATTGTATCTTAATTTTGTTATCTATGCAAGTGAGTGGACAGTGTGGGATAGTGTGATACAATATGTTAATCAGATTTTGTTATATCATCAGAATTCCTCGTACACTGTGTGCATGATTTTATGTAGAACAAGAATTCGGAGATCTCAGACCTCCGTCAAATATGTAGATCTTGTGTAATGGTGATTGTGTCCTCTTCTCATTCATCATGGTGTTTATTCTTCGTGCAAGGGAAATAACACCAATTACCAGCTAGCTGTTAAGGAGGTCATGTAACTAAAACACCAGCCGTAGATTTGATGTCTTTCTCCCTCTGGGACAGACTAACCATTGTAATATTATAACCAGACCCGAAGACCAAAGATGTGAATGAAAACTTGATACTGTGTTCTGTGTGCTCAATTATCTTACAACCTTTATGATCTCTTAATTAACGTTTTGAGTTTGAAAGAAATGTTGCGTTTGGGACAGCCACAGACGGGTACTATGTAACATACAAAATATCCTCTCAATAGATCAAATTTTCTTATTGAAATGATGTATAAGCTGTATGGATTACCTGACTGTTGCAATATAGCCTGGGGACGCAGGGGGAGCAGTCGCATGGGCTGGAGTCTTGTTTTCATGGAAGGCTGCGTTCCTTCTGAAATTTGAACAGGAAAAATAATAAAAAAGTGCGTCATAATTTTTGAGAGAAGAAAGACGATTAAAAAGGATTAATAGCTTATAATTTTAGTGTTCAGTCATTTTTCTAACGTTCCACACTTTGATTTTAGAAACCATGTGTTTTTGTTTCTCGGCTTCTTCATAATTTTTTATTGAAGTTGATGCTTTTGTATCAAAAACATGGAAGTTTAATCAGACCAGCAGAGCTAGTAGAGCATGAAAGAATAGCCCGATGAAATAATTATGAGCTCTACATTTCTGTCATCAATCTCGGCGAGAATTGCATTATGCCCCTGTCTCTACGTTTACTAAGTTACGATAACGTTATAATGCAGTCATCACACTTCTTCGTGTGGAGCACTTATGATCAAAGGAAGATGTGTCAATCGGAAGTGACAGGCGAAAATGGCCGGAATGGTCCGGATAGTGCTGAGTATCATCTCCCTCCTGGTCACATCGGCCTTCTGCGGACATGTGGCGGTGGGGGACGACTTCACCGCCGAAGAGATTGTTCAAGTTTGCGGTCATCATGACCGGTCACGACCGGTGGAGGAAATCGTTTGTGATCCGAAGAAAGTACTGGGATCCAAAGATCTGGAAGCTGTGAGCAGCACCATCAAAGGTAGGTACTACATGCGCTATTAGGCCATACGTCATTCGGGAGAGACACTTTTAACATATTTCATCAATGTTGACTGGGCTATGTTGTAAAAGAAGTATTCCTGTGGATACACAAAAAAATCTTTGGTATCAGTTGAACTTGAAATCTGTGATTCTATGATTTTTGATTTGCTAGATTGCTTTAGTTGAAATATCAAGCTTTCTTCCATATTACAAGTCTAACCTCCGACAAGTCTAACCGCCGACTAAAAAAGGATATCTTCAGATTATTCTTTTAAAAGTGGGGTTTGAAAGCCATGGATAAAAGACGTACATAGAGAAACTAAAGGAAAACGATATGTTTCAAAAGGAGAAGTTAAGCTACCGTTTTGAAAGATTTTATTCGTAGTTGAACGAATTAATGGAAATGATAAAACATACAGTTGACAAGAATCTTGCACGTTAACAACGTTGCTTATAAAGAAGATAGCAAAAACACGTAGGCACAAATACGTGACCTGAATGTATTGCAACACGTGCCGGATTTATAGATATGGATACATGGATTTTAATTGAGACAAACCAGAGAAGTTCTCCCTATAGACAAAACTTAAGAGTCATTAATGCTGATAATCACCACTGTTTGTCCTTGTAGCAACTCTACATGATATTCTACACCAAGATCACTGCCGTTCAACGCCCTGTAGGACAATGACCTTTGAAAACGACCTGCGAAACGTTCCAACACTGATGCAGCTTTTTTTTTAGCTTTTACATCTCCAGTGTATCAAAAAATAAACCAGGAATCTATACAAGTACAGCGGGTCATCCCTATAGCATTAGAGATAAGTGTGATAGGTTATTTGATAAGTGTGTTGGGCTCTTTAACCTACAGAGGTTCCACAAACGCCAGACAGAAGGACGCTCTGCTACCGTGTACATGTGATACCAATCCAGCTCACTAACAGGCAACTTTACATAACGAAATGTTATCTGCTATAATGTAGAGCAGTATTGATTTCTGCCAGCCCCACACCAGGCTAAGTAACGTTTTAATGCAATACTATGAGATCGTATAAGCGATAAGAGCGGCACTTACACGACTTGTCTATGTCCCATGGGGGTAGGGTAATGGAGAAATTATGATGTAAAACAGACGTCTTGTCAACATCGATATGGTGTAACTCTTCGCTATAGAGAACTACGAAAAACGTCAAACGTTAACGTCACGATTAAACAATCACATACAATTCCTTCTGCTCATATGTCTATTTTTACCCGGCTTGTTTGCTGTGAAAATCCAGACAAGTGCGGATAGTACTTTATCGTTGAAAGGACTTTTATCAAATATACTATATAAAATTCAAACTTCTTCCCCACTACTAAAAGGTTATCTTTTCATACCGTAAGACTTGTCTAGCTAGCTTAGATCCAACTGCCCCTTTCCTTCCTTTCAAACAATGACCACCGATCTAAACGTTAACCCCACCAATTAAGTTAAGTTAAAGCCCTCCCGCAACCATTAACACGGTCGTATATGGCAGCGCCCGTCTCCGTTACGTAGCCCTTGGGCCACACAGTTGTGCAACAGGAGGGGGCTAGTCCACTGGTAGTGGTGTGTGTTTAACTCTCACATGCTTTCTCAAATGCTAAACCCCACCAATACTGAACCATTTATCCGAATCTTCACACACCTATCCTTTCAGACATCAAGTTCTACCTCCGCAGACAAGACGTTGACTGTCGTCATCTTCGAGACTTCAAGGCCATTCTTGTCCTATTACCATGGTTACCAGGCTACAACAGAGCCTCAGAGCGTGCCTGTAACCAGACTACATCTACTGCTGAGGACCAGCGTGTGGTGGCAGAGCGGATAGCTGAGGGAGTGGGAGTCAGGAGATTCAAGAACAAATCTGCATGTGGTGAGGGTTTTTATAGTTTCTACATGTTGTAACTGAACAATTGTAGTATTACGAGCAGTACTGCATTTTTCTTTGTAATTATTGTTTGTCAACAAAACGAATCAAAATTAAGTGCAATCTGTCAGTGTGAAAACTGTAAAACTGCAATTCAGGGACTGCGAAAGCTAGAAAAATACGAGAAACATTGTCTGGCGACCTAGAACAAGTACTTGCAAAGGTTTTTCTGCAGTCGTACTCGTAATTTGACAGACTCATCTTCAGGAACACATAAACACAGTCTGTCTGTCCCTTGCAGGGTTTGTTTCAGTTTTCTCTCTCAGAGAACCTGTGTTCTCACTCTGGGTGAAAAACGACAAGGACAGGAACCAGACCAGAGGCGTGGCCAGGCGGATGAACGATACCTTCACCCGGCTGATGTCTGAGGCCAGGAGGAAGGCCATTATCACAGCAGTGAAGGAACTGACTCTGCCATGCGATCTGCGGTACGGCAATCTATTATAGCTGCACTTCCCTATTAAACCGCAAGATGGCTTCACAATAGTAGTAAAGTTATCTTCCGGAGATCATGGGGTGGAAGATCGTAATATGTTTTTGTCTGGGTGGGTTTTCTGACAGTCCGTATTTAAGGGGTAGTGGCTGTCAGAAAAGCTCAGAATGACGAAAAAAAATATTATTTTCTACCCAACATCTACTTGGAGATGTCTTCCTAGTTTTGACATATTAAAGGCACATCAAAGGTCACGAAATGCAAACTGCATATTTGTCACAAAACCAGTGGTCTTCAGTTCAGTTTTCAGTAGTCTACACCGAGAAAAGTAACACGATCCTAATGTTGTCCTACATACTCATATAATGTACATATACGCCCCATGTGTAGGTGATTAGAAGTGTATTTACTTCTCAGTAAAATGTAGTTTCTTATTTTCAGTCCGCCATTTTTCGCTCGGACCCTCCGGAAACCCAAGAGTGACCTGCAGTTTCAATATGCGCCCCCCTGCGACCAGAACACCACTCTGCAGTACATCGAAATTCTCGGATTTGAACTGACAATCGACGAAATAGTCTACCTAAGTTTTGCTGCAGTCGGAACAGTGACCATAATCATCATGATTTGTTGTATTTGTAAGCTGTGTTCAGAGACGTCAAAGTTTAACAATGTCCGTCAGTTTTATCATGGTTCCCACAATGAAACTCAGGACGAAATTCTAAGTATGTAATCTTTAGTATTCAACAGCTTTTACTCTACGACGTTTAAAGAGGGGGATACAAATCCACATCTTCAAGTTTTTATCTTACGAAATGTTTAAGGGGAACATCCGGAATACATCGCTACTATTCGCTGGTGTGAGAAATGCTAGCTGCCTTGTTATGGTACAAATGAAAATCGAATCAAACTTTATCGTACGAGGTAATGATTGTGAAGAGTACAATGTATGGCAAGGTACTACTAGTATTCTGAACAATAACTACAATATCTGTAAATAGAAAGCAGTAACTACATTACAAACAGTATGATATCTAACGATTATAATAGTCCCCAAAAATTAAATTTTGCAATAATATTGTAGGAATACTACCATTATTAGATAAAACGTACGGCGTCAATTTAGAAAAAAAAAAGGTAGTTTAGGCTCTATGCTTGCCATCAAATAAAGTATATGCTGCTTGTCTAAACTATTATCGACTAATCTTATGTACTGGTAGATCATCTAAGTCAGGCTCCTCATACAAAGTCTATTATCCATACTATTCTAGGTCCGTGTCGCTCCCTTGGAATATTATAGTACGCCAGGGTTGCTGTTGGGGTATGACTATGAGTCGCCAGATGTCGCTTAATCTTCTGTTATTCTGCTGGTCTTTAACCAGAAAAAAAGAAACACTTAGCAATATTTGTCTCCTTACATCGTGTGCATGTTTTATTATGTATTTTCTATTACTACCCTAACGGTCAATTAGATAACAATAAAGATAGGTAGAAGAGACCCAGGGACTCGCTGTTTACATAAACTGCTAAAGTCAATACTTGTATTCCGATATGGGCAGTATATTACGCCAAAAAATAGTTACTCAAGCAACTGGATATGAATCATATCCAGTTGCTTGAGTAACTATTTTTTTGGCGTATCGTATTACCTGGATGTCTAACCTTCATCGACGTGGGCAGTATATTGTTCATGAATTACCAGTCGTTGATTGTGAGTAGTATTTGATTCTCCTAATTACTAGTAATAACTAAAAAAATTACGCTTCATTACCCTTAAAAATACAGCAGCGATTTGTACTCTTTTAGAGATTTTCAACATTGATAGGGTTGTTGTCATTTGACAACAAACGGAACCCTTCGTGCCGAATAGAGAAAATCGATACTAGAGTTGATCCGTGTGTGTGTCCGTGGGGAGGGGGGCAGGTGTGTGTGTGCGGGATCGAATGTTACATACGGGGTATTACGGTCGAGCTGGTGCTCTTCGCGGAATGATACAGACAGGAACAGGGTGACACTATTTCCAGTAAAACTAAATCCGCGTACTGAGGAGTAACTACATTGCACTACTTTTTTGTTTCCAATTCAAGAAACAGTTACTCAAGCAACTGAATAGATTTTGAAAACTGTCAGACTGTCCACTACTTTTCGTCAGTGACTTTACTTTTACACGACTCATCAAGGATATATTGGAATCCGTTGAGATGTTGCCTCTATTTTTCTTAGCCTTTGGGCCAAGAGTTTCTGAAGGAAGCTATCTAGACAACGTTGTCGCGAAAGCAGTGTAGGATAGTTTCAATTTAACGTTGAAAACGCCAGCATGTGTGTTTGTGTGCACCCATGTGTGTGTTCCATTCCCCCCTCCCATGTCACAAAATGGATTAGGCTAGACTTGAATCCGTCGGGGCCCTTTAATTAAATCCCAGCGCCCCCGAACAAGGTGGTCTCTCGGTGACTGTCAGGTGAATGTCAGCTGATTCAGCAGACACGGCGGGGGAAATGTCACTTCCACAGGCGCCATGCGATAACCACGGACAGGATATCAGCTCCGAGTACAGGGGCGGGGCCTGGGAATCGTACTAGTCTAGTAACTTACAGATCAGCACCAAGGACAGGGGCGAGACTGGGAATTGTACTAGTCTAGTTATCTACAGATCAGCACCAAGGACAGGGGTGGGCCTGGGAACCGTACTAGTCTGGTTACTTACAGATCAGCACCAAGGACAGGGGCGGGGCCTGGGAACCGTACTAGGCTAGTAACTTACAGATCAGCACCAAGGACAGGGCGGGGCCTGGGAACCGTACTAGTCTAGTAGCTTACAGATCAGCACCAAGGACAGGGGCGAGACTGGGAACCGTACTAGTCTGGTTACTTACAGATCAGCACCAAGGACAAGACAGGGCCTGGGAACCGTACTAGTCTGGTTATTTATTCATTAGTTTGTCTGTTCAACACGCACAACTAGGACGGCCCAACCACCAGGAGCTTGTGGCTATTACAAAGGGCTCGCCTCGCTGACAAAGACCAGGCATTACAATGAAATTGACATGGGCAGCGTAACAGTATACAAAAACCATTGTGTCTAAATAATCTGAAATGCATGGCATGTACAATGAATGTTCATCATTATGTACATCAGAAATGTTGCATGTTTATGCGAGTTTAAGTGTATATATGTGTAGTTCAAGTACTAGTATTATGTGCTTTTGGAATCATGTATGTGTACTCTCTGTGTTTTCATGAATCCAGGACGAGTAGATTAGATTTTTAAGTCTAATCTAATAACCTTCTAATAAAACATCAAACCTCAAAGTATTGAGTAAGGCAATAAAGTCTCAACGTCATTACTGTTGAGTCCGTTTACACGTGTAATGCCCATTCACTCAAATAAATAGTTCACTCCAAACAATGAATGCATTACAGATTTAGTCCTAAAACGTAAAAGACAAGAAATCTGCGGGCGGTAAGATAATATATCTTTTTAAAAAAGAAAGTTAATTGATGCAGCGATATCTTTAATGATATCAGGAAGTCTATCTATTTACGGTAATGATTTCACATGTATTCTCTCTGACCGGCTCCTCTGTTCCAATAGATCGCTCTCAGGCAATATCGTTTGCGGGAAGTCCAATATAACCTTGACGTTGTCGGCGCGGGGACATGTCGGTCAGTTGAGCGTGAATGATAACCGTGCTGCCGTGAACCCTGACCCGGCGCTATCCATCCTGCTCACGGCCCGGCAGATTGAGCGCGGGCCGCTGACACTGTGACGGCATCGCCTGGGTGCTCCAGCAACCCTGCCCACCCCTATACTTAAATACAACCTTCCGAAACACACTTCACTACAGCGGTACTAGCTACACTGCCAGCCGTCGTGCACTGCAGTCGTTCGCGCTATGCAAACAGGACCGCACGAGGGAGTGCCCACACAACATGTCTACCGTACTAAGAGCACTGTTCGCGACTGTAGTAGCCTGGGCCGTGTACATAGCCGCCGCTAAGAACATCAGTAAAGCCGTGGTTGTGGAGAGATGCGGGGAGTTCCAGATCTCGCCGCTATGTGATCCGTACAAGGCCCTGACTGACAGAGAGGTGTCGCGAGTACTTGACTCGATCGCAGGTAAGGATGTTTTATCACAACGTTACTCTACTACTAGCGCCTGGAGTACAAGCTTACTGGTAGAAAATTCTAATCTCCAAGCACATAGAGCTAGAGGCCGGGTCAGAATCTCGTGTATTTTAGAGGGTTTTTGTACAAAAAGCCTATAAAATTCTATGGGTCCTTGGGAAGAAAAATACGGAACACTAGAAAGACGTTCAAATCTAAAAACGCATAGAACACTGACCCAGACCCTACATCTGCTTGATCATTTATAGTTTTCTAATGCGCTGAATTAGATATCCTGCCATCAAGCAGTGTTTCTCATTGAAGCATTATATTTTCCTAATTATCTAAGCAAATTACACTTACCTTGGCACTCACGAGCATTTAAAAATACTTTATTTTTAAACATAGCTGCGATTTTTAGTCTTTGCAAGGTTTTCTTCATCTTTAGGTTTGTCATTTGACCACAGATGATATGTCAAGCAGCGAATGTCACATGGTATTGTCCACATACACATGTATGAGCGCTTGATCTTTCACTCGGCAGTTCCAAATATCAAAACCAATTCCCGAGTCACGACCCTCTCCAGTCGCACACTGAGGAAAGGGCACTCATTTGGAATCCAAGGGCGGAGGTTTTATTCGGCACATTCGCTGCAGGGGACGGTGCGGTAACGGATGTCATGTCGGAGAGAACCCTGTTCAGCCTTACGGGCTACGGTGGTTATACTCTGTCATGTTCCTGTTCATGTTAGATATATAATAGGAACAGAAAGGCTAACATAAACGAAGAATTGTGGCATTTTTCTCTATACCATATCAAAACAGGTATTTTGGGGCGCCTTATTTGGCCTTACGGGCTACAGTGGTTCTACTCTGTCATGTTCCTGTTCCTGTTAGATATACAATAGGAACAGAAAGGCTAACATAAACGAAGAATTGTAGCATTTCTCCTTATACCCTATTAAAACAGATATTTTGGAGCGCCTTATTTGGCCTTACGGGCTACAGTGGTTCTACTTTGTCATGTTCCTGTTCCTGTTAGATATACAGTAGGAACAGAAAGGCTAACATAAACGAAGAATTGTGGCATTTCTCCTTATACCTTATTAAAACAGGTATTTTGGAGCGCCTTATTTGGCCTTACGGGCTACAGTGCCAGTGGCAGTGGCTTTACTCTGTTATGTTCCCGTTCCTGTTAGATATACAATAGCCATTAGGAACAGAAAGGCTAACATAAACGAAGAATTGTGGCATTTCTCCTTATAGATTATTAAAACAGGTATTTTGGAGCGCCTTATTTGGCCTTACGGGCTGCAGTGGTTCTACTCTGTCATGTTCGTGTTCATGTTAGATATACAATACTATAGGAACGGAAAGGTTAACATGAATGAAGAATTGTGGCATTTCTCCCTGTACCTAATATCAAAACAGTTATTTTTGGAGCGCCGTATTCGGCCTTATGGGCATGCAATAGTGATTATACTGTCATGTTCTTGTTCATGTTAGATCTACAATGGAAAAAGTCGTGCATTTTCTATCACTCTGCATGCCCTGTACTGTATACAATCAGTACGGACTGACCTTGCTCAGAAATTACAGAACCTTGTAGGCTTTGATTTGCACAATTTGTCTGAAGAAGGTTATACTCAACTTATTTATTTTAGGGGTTCGCCCCTCGTGTGTCCGGAAACCCATACACATATATTTTGACTTAAACTGAAACCTATATTGTCAACACAAAACGGTTTAATACTGCTTACAAAAACACTCGATTTCACAGAATGATCCATTTTTACAAGTTCTCTTTGTATTTTGTAACGCCCATTTTCTGTTTTGTTGTCGATTGTAGAAGTATATACGCTATAGAAGGTCAATTATGATATCTGAATGTTTCCAATGCCTACAGACCTAGGAATACAATCAGTAGACCCAATGCCATTTCCAGTTATCCACTTTAATCCTGTTATTTGGCCGTCAAATTATTCCTAAGCAATGGGGTGGTCCTACTGACCATTACGGGACAATGATGCGTACACAATGCGCTTATTCTTCTAGAAATGGCGCATGCTTTGTTGTTAAAATGGAGTACAACATCCATAACGACTAAGTGAGCTTCGGGACAGTCTTTTATTGTCCAATCGCGTGACCATCGGAAAATAAACTAATGACACAATAAATGTGTTCTGACGTTTGCCCTACTTTTATTCCATAGAATGAAATGACGAGGTATGTTTTGTTGAGCGCTTTTACTTGCAGAGTGGCGTTTGGTTGCCGGTCGGTCTAGGCTCATGGAAAGCTTTAAAGGCATCTAATGCATTTCAGGGCGGCAAAACTGGAAATACTTTGAATAGGGCAATTGCTAACCTTTATGATATTTACATATACTGTCCCACATTATCACATTTGAATCAGTATTTCATATTTAAGTCATTTAAAACTGCAGAAACAAGCCCCAAGATGAGTACTTTATTTTCTGGGTGGTACCCTAAAATCAATTCAGGTCCTCACAGTAACCGTTTTTCGTCTGAATTTGGGGCCTTTTTGCTCCATGAATGTAGATATACATTGGGACATTGTTGTTTGAACTTAGTTATGTAGATAAGTGTGGGGTCGTGTGGCGCAATCGGTAGCGCGTTCGGCTCACACCCCAGAGGTCGTGGGTTCGAACCCCACCTTGTCACCGATCTTGTGCCCTTGGGAAAGGCACTTTACACGACTTTCCTCACTTCACTCAGGTGGAAATGAGTACCTAGCTTCGGCTAGGGACGTCCCTCGGATAGGACGTTAAATGGAGGTCCCGTGTTTGGGGAGAGCCACACCCCACGCACGTTAAAGATCCCACCACACCTTTCGAAAAAGAGTAGGGGCATGCCCCGGTGTGCGATGGTACAAACACTACTGTATGGAGTTGGTGATTCACTTCAAATCACCCGAATGGAGGCCTGGCGAACCTCTGTTCCGTATCAGCCACATGGTGATTACATCATCACACATGGTGATTACATCATCACCCGGACGGAGGCGTGGCGAACCCCGTCTTGTATTAAGCTAACGAAAGGGTATGCCACCTCGTAAGGGGCGGTATAACCCCGACCAATACGGTCGACCGATGATGATGATATGTAGATAAGTGACTAGAATATTGACTTTGAAAAATGATCGCTCATCGGCATTGTATAATGTAGGATAGGCTGAGGTCAGTGTTCGGAGAAGAAGAAGAAGAAACGTAGCAAAAACAATATGTTTTCCTTCGGTAAACATAAGAAACATTGAGTATTATAGTATGATATAGTATCTAATAAGCTATCTTCTAATAAACCCCCCGATCTTGCTAATGACGATGATTTGTGCCTCCCAACTCTTTCTATTTACTCCTGTAGAAATCTCCTCCTCTCGGTCTCCGATAAAGCATATATAATCCGATTATTCCAGCCTTACACAGCGGAGACGGGCCTGTACAGGACAGGTCTATTCATTAATGATGACAGGCTGTCGATAGATGAATTATTAAGTATGGGTGGGGAAGCACGTCTCTTGTATAGGTTGAACTATGGCGAGCAGTGCTGACGTCCAATAGGAGATAGTGGTGTATTTTTGTACTAACCACTGAAAAGTATTTTACCCTTATACCTGCATGTTTGCAGAATGATTAAAACATACCTTTTGAGTTTACATGTTGGCACGAGCGTTGATGTATATATACGTGGCGTTCGTTATAATTAGGTCTGTATGGTTGGAGGGAAGGAATGCAAATAGAACAAACAAGATGCTAGGAGACCCAAACGAGCTAAACGTCTTTCCGACCACAAGAGTTATCTACCATCCAAAATTCGTGATCATGTTCAGATCAAGAGATAACAAAACCGGAAGTTGCGGTGAAGTACCATAACAAGCCGCCAGGAGACCCAAAATCTGACCATTTTGAGGTCTCATCAAGACATACCCTCCTACCAAATATCAATACGATCCATTGAAGCCTTCACGAGTTATGACACGCACATGTACACAGACAGACTACACACACACATTTTCTATATGTTTTCTGGTCCGAACACCTGCATAGATATCCTACGTGTACATACCTCTGGGATCAATGGTGTTGTTATGTCTTTTCTAATGGCATGAGGGTCTTACAATGTAAGCTACCTGGCAGAATTATTAGAGTTGACGCTACTTGTCCCGGCAAGGCTGGCAACTTCTAGTAGAACGGCGTAATTTTATTGCCTGAGCTGTGCCCTGTCCAGAGCGAAGGTCGCCCGCACGGTAACCGCCCTGCCGGCAATATCCCGTGTACTGGCGGGCCCTGGCGCAGCCAGATCGATATCTGTGCCGGGTAATAGCTAATGGAACGCCGCGGCTGACACGGTGTCCTCGCGGGTCGTATATGACGGGCTAATGAAGGCAGAGAACGCATCTGACAAAGCGGCGTCATCCCGTACTGAAGTAGTCAGCACTCACTCACGACAGGACAGGACATGACGGCATTTGTTCACTGTGGCGTGCGCAGAGGATGGCATCCTCTTTTTATCTTGTCTGTGACGGAGATGACGGATCGAAATCCCTCTTTCCCCATTACCTATATTATTGTTGAGATGCTCAAATCTACCTCCTTCATGGAGGCAACAAGCATTACAGAATGTATGATACTGCAGACGATACGTTTCTCTATGTTCAGTTATTTTTGTATGGTCGGTAATAAATAGACACATATATTTGATAACGATTCAAAACAATACCTCCTTCACGGAGGTAACAAGCATTAAAACACTTGCGGTATAGACACATATGATACTCCAGACATTACGTTTCTTCGGGTTCAATTATTTTTGTATAGTTGTTAAGAGATGCAGTAGACACATATATTTGATGTTGTCTGACATGTGAGAGGTCCTGACTCAGGTCACGTCACGGTGTGAGAGACAGGATGATAGCGTGAGAGATAGGACAGGACGGGAGGAGGTGTTCTCACGCTAGGGTAGATGTATCAGGGAGAACAGTAACTGTACATGTCG